TCAAGTGTGTTTACGGGCCATCTCTTGAATATGGGAATGAACAATCTTTTTCTTTCACTGATACGTGGACAAAAGGAAACAAAACAGTAAACCGTTTAAAGAAAGAAACGTTATAATCATTTGTGCTTACTTATCTGCTACCCATTGAATTCTTTTGTGATCTTTTTTTTGGTGGGCGTCAATAATTAAATTAATTATTAATTTAAAAAAATTAACAATTAACGCAGAAGCGTCCTTGAAAAGTAGGCGGGATCGGGATTTCCAGGCTAAAAAGGGCGGGATGGTGGGATTAACAGGAAAAAATGGGCGGGAAAGCGGGATCTGAGAACCCTATTGTGGACCCTCTACAAAAGGCAGTTCAAAAGAGAGAACGGTATACAAAATCATGGCAGAAGGACGAGTAGCGAAAGCCTGTATACCTGGCTCAAGTAGAGAGAGGAACTGTGAGAGTAAAGAGCTTCTAACAAAAACATAACGCACCGTGCCCCACACAACTAAGAATTGCTGAAATTCATGTTTTAATATTTCATATTTAAAAATATATACACCTGATGTTGGTGCTAGTTTTTTGTTAATCTTACTTACTTTGAGTGTTTCGTTTCCAATTCTTAGCGGGTATTCTCCATCCACCAACTTCTGGTTTGCCATTTTCTTGAACTCGTTACACGAACGAGGATCTGAAAAAAAAAGTTTTAAGATGATGAAGGCGAGCTTATTTTGTTGTCCGGGTTTCTTAGTGTTCGCAGTTTGATGCATTTGGTGATAAGACGAACAATACTGATAGACAAACGTCAAAACTTGATACTGATAGTTACAGCATCCAATAGCAGGTCCGTGCACATCGGCTATTCTAGCTGCCTTATGGTTTAACTTCGGTATCATGTTCTGTGTGTATGTGTTTGCGTATATGACTTTGTGTATATTTTCAATTTCAAATTTAAGAAAACAGTTTTGGGACTCTGGTAAATGCCAACCGTCCTCATCTTCAATGTTAGGTTTGCCTTTAGAAAATAACTTCTACAAATCACATCACATTCTACAACGTTACCCTAACAATGACTGCTGACTGTTCTAGAATATAAGACAATGAAAACGTTCCTAGCAGAACTGGAGAACAGGATTACTCTGGTGTAACTCTTTTTTAATTAAATTAATATCCGTAGGTACCTTTGTGTGCCTTAGTGTCAGCAATTTGGATTGCACATTTTTCTCCAGTCCAAGGAATCGGGCACGAACATGTAAATGTTTGCTTCACTTCGTCCATCTCACAAGAGCCACCATTGAGACAGCCGGTTAGGAGGCATCCCTGAAATGAACAGAAATAAACGAAACTATAAAGCAAGCTACATAGATTTAAATATTTTTGATAATGACTTCAACGGTGGCGCTCATATTTTATCACGTGGTCAGTGACCACTGGGAATATAAGATTAAGTTACACAAAAACATGACAAAACACACACAAAAACACTAAAACACGAGGGCTAGGTCTTCCCTTAACGTTTTAAATGTTTAAATTGTGAAGTACGGCGTTTGAACCGGGTATTAGACATCAGTTGGCGCTAACCAGATAGCAGGTCATTAGAATTATTTAGTTAAATTGATGCAAAAACAGAATTGAAGTGTGAATCCCACTGAAATATATGAAACGTGCTTGATTATTTATGGAATAATGAAGTCAAAACTTAAAATAGGAACTGTCCAACTTTGCTATTTAGTTTACCAAGATAGAGCTCGTATTTTACCACATGCAGTCAGTGACCACTGGGAATATAGGATTAGATTACACAAAAATTGAAACACAAGAACCAGGTCCTCCCTGAATATTTAAACACCTTTTAGCAATTGGCAAGTACAGTAGTTTTGTATTATGATCTCAAAGTTTCGTTTTATCCAAGTATATGTACAGCTGTTTTTTGTTTTATGCAAAATATTTTTAAAATTTAACTTCACCACAATCGATACACATGCAGAAACCCCAATTTGGGCAAAACATTTCGGATGATAGAAAGCTTTACTCATGCCACAGATTTACACACGTTTCTTTCTGGATCAGATGTAGATGGATAAACGCAACTAGTAAAAGTAATGCATTACCTTAAGAAGCTTAGAGAAAGTAACTCCTTGTTCATCACGAAAGTTGGCATTTTAAATAAAATATTTCTAATAAAATAATACATGGTTGCTTGTAGATATGGAATTTCTCTTCTCGTCAGGTCAAGTTTACATCTCTGTCGTTCGCTGCGCTGTGCACAGCGTGAGAGAGATATCGAGTTAAACACTAAAAGAGAAGCGCGCCAATAAGAGTATTATTCTCTCT